ATAATATAATATTTTTTAAAATATTTTTATTTCTATTTTTGTAGGTACAGATTTTATTAGTTATAACTTTATAAAATATTATAAAAGTATAATATTTAAAATATAATAATTGTTTACAAATTACTTGTATGTACTTATATAATTATCGATTATAATAATCTTATAGCATTTTTAACAATTTATATTTTACATATTGCTCGATAACTGACCGTTTAATCCATAAAATTGATTTTTATTTATAATAACTATAATTTCATGAAATTCAAACTTATGATAATTAATTATTAATTTTTAATAACTTTTATTTCCTATGAAACACAAAATTTATGGAAATATTTTATATTGAAGTTTAATGTGTTGTTGTCTATATTTATTTATTTAATTCATGTTTATAAAACATACATAATAATTTAATTAATAAAAAAATTAAGCATATTGATACATGATATATTTCAATGACTACCAAATGTTATAATTTCAATTATTACTTGACTATATAATTTTATTTACTTGTTTTTCTCTATAAAATAGTATACAATTTAAATTTAACTTTTTAACACATTGAATAATGGTTTTTATGTATATAAATATTTTAATGTGAAATTTATAATTCTTCATTTCACTGACCATCAAAAGATAATTTATTAATATATAATTTAATATTTAAGTAGTATTAACAATACAAAAGATATATTCAAGAGAGTTTTAATTTATTCACGGTTAAGTTGAATACATTCTATAAAAATTTATCAATATCTTAAATTATTCATTAAGTTAATATAATTCAAAAATAATTATTTTAATTATATTATTATATATCTTAAGCTTTTGATTAATGAACATAATTCATATCTACAACCATGAAATAATAATCAAAATTCATCAAAATTAATTTTTATAATTATAATGAATACACACTTTTTTTTTAAATTATGCGAAAAAACTTACTACGAAATTGGTATTATGGTCTTATCCAAAATATGTGTGATCAATCAATTATTCTAGTTAATTCAATTTATATTTAATGTGTATTAGTCATTGTGTAAAGAAAGAAAAAATAACTATTTTTTCATATGTAAAGTTTGCAAATAAATATATGCAAAATATTAACAAAAGTTTTTTCATGCCCAAAACTATGTCAATGATGATAATATATATAGATATATATTAATATATAAAGAGACAATGATATTTACTTGATATAGCAATTAAAAATTAGCAAAAAAAAAACGTTCGGTTTTTCGCCTAAAATATTTACTATATTGAGTATTATTTTTGGTCAAAATTTAAAAAATCCTGCCTGTGATTGGGAAATTTTTGAAAATTTGGACTTTTTGATTTCTGCCTATTTAGAATAAAATCGGACGAAAGTTGGGAAATAAAATTGGCCCTAAATTGTGTGTCCATCGGAAATTTACGAATATATATCCCAAATACAGAATCATAAATGAAGCCTAATTTGATGATATTGAAACTCTTCTGGAAAATAATTTCACAAAATTAAAATTCTAAAAAAATTTTGGATAATCCATAGTTTTTTGGCCCGGCTCTCGGATCGACCCGGAGCCCGAACCGGTTCGGGTGGACTATTTGGACTGGGCAACAAAGGACACGGTCAAAACCCGGCCGACTCGGGGCATTGATCCGGCCGGGTCAAACCGGTCCATATTTTTATTTTATTTTATTTTATTTTATTTGTATTTTAAAAATAAAACTATGTATATATGTTTATATGGTAAATATTTATGATGAGATACTTATTATTAACTCTTTAATGTACAAATATTATACACAAAATATTTAATTTATTTACTTTTATTTATATTTATATGACAAAAATACTCTATGTATAATTTTTAAAATTTTAAAATTAATTATCCGGTTCAACAATTGTCCCGGTGACCCGACAGTTGAACCTGTGACCTGACGACCTGCTCGGGTTGATTATAATCTATCTATTAATATNTCAGCAAAAAAAAAAAAAACATTTAGTTTCCCGCCTAAAGCATTTACTATATTGAGTAATATTTTTTGCAAAAATTTAAAAAATCCTGCCTAAATTAGTTGCATGATTTAAATTTGGAATATAATATTTTTGACAATCGACTTGATTTGTCAGGATTAAAATGAAGATTTACAAGTATTACTCGAAGGCTTATAACTCAAAGTCACTTCACACACCAAACTTAGAGCATCTCTAATGCATTCTTTTGAAAGGGTAAAAAGTTATCCACCTAATCTAGATAGAAAGTGTGTGAATAATATATCCTCCAATGCATTAGATTATGGGTCCTTTCATGCTTATGTGTAAAAAATTAAGGTTAACATTGTCAAGCTCACTTACTAATTTCTCACATTCTTTCTAACATGATGACTCATCATTTTGGTAATTATTTGACACAAATTTTGAGCTTTTCATAAACTTGAAAAAATCCGGCCCTTACATTTATCCAATAAAACATTTGAGAATTTATTTGAATACAGTATAATTATTTGATGAGTTACAACTAAAATTTAAAAAATTTATCAATAATAATGTCCTTTTTTTTTTTCCGAAACGATAGAGGTACTATTATTAATCAAAAGTGCACAAATGTGCGAATAAAAATACAAAGCTCCCAACGGGAGAATAAAATGGGAGGACAGGTCAGAAGCCTTCCTAGAATCCCGCTAGCAACGCTAAAAAAACCCGAACTAAACATACCAACTACACGACCACGACCCCAAAGGGGTAATAACAACACAAAACATCAAACAACGACACAAGACCCCCACAGGGTAATTCCCGAGTATCGGACCCCCACAGAGTAATGAAAATGATACTCGGGAGCACAGGGGCCAACGGCCCAAACCTAAAAAACAACGACAACCACAGACACAGAGACGAACACACGAAACCAAACACCAAAACAAAACAACAATAAATAACAAATACAAATACAATAAGCGGCCCTTCCTAAGCAGCATCACCTAGCCGAACCAACGGAAACAAGTCGACCACGAAAACCTTAGTCAGAACACCGACCCCGAAACTGCCTAAACCACTCGGTTGCCTATCGAAGACGAAATTCCAACCCCGGAAATACAGCAGGCCAACCTGCACCACGGCCATAACACCAATTGCCCCAATCGGACAATAGAGTGCCACAACCCTAGCCCCGACCCCACATCGCCTGGAAAGTGCCCAAAATCACCGCAATCAGCCGCACCACCACCTCGACCAACTCCACGGAGGGAAGAATTGGTGCGCCGGCCTCTTGCAATCCTCAATCAGAGGACCAATGAGTGACCTTGAGCAACAGCAGCGGCTCGACACGCAACAGCAAGTCGCCGAGCAGTCGGACCGTGTCCCACCCCAGGAACGGCACCACGGCTCCATTACCGAACACCAGAGAACCCACGCACCTGTAATCACGAATCGACGCCGGAAAGATGGAGCCCATCCGCAACCGGCAAGGGCTGCTGCTAATGAAATCGGAAAAAGGAGCGGAAAAAAAGGGGGGGATCCAAGCATCCTAGGGCCATCGACCGCCGGCGAAGCTCGACGGCCACTGAGGAAGGCGAACGGCTTCAAATCGGAGGAGAGACGATGAAGTTTGGCGAGGAGGGTTTCGGATTTAAATTAGATTTTATGTTTTTTATTCTTCTAAGTTTTTCTTTAATAATAATGTCCTTAAAAGTAAAATATTATGTTCATGATATTTGTTTGTTGAGTTATTGCAATTTTTAATATTTTGTTGTTTTATTTTGAACCAATTAAAAAAATATTTATTGTGTGGTTATACATATTGTAACTGAGAAATTATTGAACAAATAATAATTTTATAAATTTGATGATATAAATAAAAATTAACTGAATCAACAAAAAATAACATCATGCATATAATTATTGGAATTTGTGGTTTTTTCCTAATATACTCTTTGATTTTATTAATAATTGAATAAATCCACATATACAAATTGTATGGTTGTTGAATGGATGCATTGGAGGCAACAATTCAAATGAAAGTCCTATTCTTTTAACATTCAGTTCATGTAGATTAAACATTAATCCATTGATTGACATGTGTTCAAATTTAATTAATGTTGAAAGTTGAGCATTGGAGATGCTCTTAGCTCAACTCGGTGCAAATTAGTTATCAAGCCGACTTTATATATAGACGTGTACCGACTTCGCGCATGGCCGAGAACCGACCTCGCACTAAAGACAAAACAACCGACTTCTCGAAAGTTCTTTTCTGAAGATTATCCATACAAATCGAGGTCCGAGGTATCCGAAATCCAAAGTAGGTAACGAAACATATGTATTATTGGACCACATGTTATGTTTGCAATGATTACTGTTCCCCCATTGACAAGCAGACCGCTTCAACAAGCTGCTCAACATTAAATGCGATTCTATCTACCTCGTACCGGAAGTCAAACACACATGGCTATAAATAGCAGAATTTATTATTGTATAGGGGATCTTTTTTACGCACATTCAACACGCATATGTAAACACGGCTCGGTTATACAGAATATGGACTTCTTGTACTCAGCAAAAACTTAGAAATAATACAAAGTTTACATCTTTTACGCTTTAATTACGTCTTATTGGTATTAAATATCGTTGTTAAATATCGTACAACAGTAGATTGACGCTAGGGGAAGGCTCATAACTTATTTAAGGTTAATCTTCGATTTCCTACACACCAGCCACATACCTCTCTTCGGTTTACGTTCGTTTCAACTGAACAAACAATCATCATGTCTAATCATGAACGCTAAGAAAAAACTCCGGAAGCTGGACCTAGTCGTAACCTGCCCAATCTGCCGGAAGAACAGTCGTGCCATTAACAACACCTGATTATACAGACCTGTTTCAGAACCCAGCGTTTGTGAAAGGTTTTCTGCTTTAATGGCACAAACGATGCCAGGAACCTCTGTTCCAACTCCTGGTCAATTTACGGTACCTGCAATTCCGGTAAGGCCGCTAACACCACCAGTCCAGAGACATCATGGGCATGCAGCCACGTCGCATGCCGCCTCATTACCACAACAAAGAAAAGGGGTTGCTGGCCAAGCCCAGGGCGATCCCCCAGTTATCAACAATCAACCAGTGGCGAATCCACAAGAGATTACTGCTGAAAGTCATTCTAGCCACTATCAGCAACCTCCTGCAGTTCCACGACTGATGTCACCACAACCAGAAAGACACACAGACTTGCGTCAAACCATAGAGTGGAATCACTCTAGGCTCGAGTCGGTGGAAGAAGTTCTCCGCCGAAGAGTTGTCGAGTTGGAAACTCGACAAAAAGTTCAAGAAGACTCTCCACGAAGAGCTTTCATGTCATGTCAGGTTTATTTGGAAGCAGATTCTCCTTTAACACCTGATCTTACCATGGAGGCATTGTCGGGAAAAATCAAAGTTCCCCAAGAATGTCCTTACGATGGGACCTCGAATCCCGACGCTCACCTCGGTCAGTACAACTCGTGGATGGATCTTCACAGGGTCACCGTAATGGATGCCGAATCCAACAATAATAAATTTCTGCTTCTAAAATAACTATGGTAGTAGTAAGCATAGTCGTATCCACAGGGATTGGTTAGACAGAGTATTGATGCAACTATTCGTGAAAGAAATAAAAATAAAAATGATGGGGGTTTTGATTATTTTATCTAACTAAGAAAAATAAAATAAAATAAAATCTAACTAGATAAGAAAACAAAATGAGTGATTAAAAATAGAGAAGATATCCAACTAAAGGAAAAACTCGTAGAAATGGTTCAACGATTTGATCACGGATGCAAAGATAATTATCCTATTCTCGATTAAACTGGTTAGGGTTATTGGTACGACCTAACAACCTATCATTCCTTACTTGATCGATAATCAGGATACGATCTCTAATTATTTCTTTAATCAACAAACAGTCCTAGATACGATCATAGGATTTAATCTATCAACAACATTGAAATCTAGAACGACCACCAATTCTAGCCAATAGACGCACATGTAGGACCATTTATACTATATCATATATCTCCCTAAACATAAAATCGAAAACCCTTAGTAATCAACTATGTTCTTTTCCACCAATATTAGAGCAATCAAACAATTACAGGATTTAACGTCTAAATAACAATATGCATCCAACAATTGAACAAATGGCCAGTTTGCATCAACATATCAAAATACAATTGATAATAATCACAAGAGATATATAAATAAAAGAGAATTAGGGAATATAAATTCAATTAGATTTCACAAATCATGAAGAAGCAAGTCTAGATTAATCCTTTGGCTGGAAAAATAAATTAATTCTCCATAAACATGGGAGAAGTCTCACAATTATTCATGAAAAATAAAAGAAAATAAAAATAAAAGAAAAGAAAAGAGAGAAGAGAGCGTGCGTTAGGAAGAAGAGGGAGAAAAAAAAAAGAAAAGATATATCATAAAATAAATCTAGCAGCCTGGTTTTAAATTAAACCAGTCTAATCCTAATCCTAACAGAAAGTAGGTAGAAAATAAAGAGATCATTCTCTATCTCCAAAAGTATCCTAATAAAATATAATAATCCATAAATACTCCATAAAATTTTATTATTTCTCTTTCTAACTCAAGACTCCTTCCTTCTTCCAATTCTCGTAGGAAATTAGCGTGCCCACGCTTTAACATAAATTCGTCTCTTTTGTCCTCCAATCATCATAAAATTCCAAATTCCGAGATCTCCTACAAAAAATATAAAAATCAATTAAAATCAATAATTAAGCTCAAACAAACACCAAAAAAGTATGGAAAACATGACAATTAACATGACAAGAATACGACTTATCAAATCACCCCACACTTAAACCATGTTTATCCTCAAGCATCACGTCAACTTCCTCATCTCATTTCATAATCATCTCTATCATTTGTTACCAACCTAAATGTATTTTGCACAAATCAGAAACATAGCTCAAGAAGAATCCTTATTAACCAACATCAATGAATAATCACCTCAACAATCAAATAACTTAAAACACACGAGATTCGACAACTTCTCACGAGATGCACTCATCACTCGAATGTGTATAGGCTAAGTATAAAGTGTACGTTCAAGTCAAGACAATGAAGACTTTTACCATAAGCTTGCAAATATATCACGCTCCTCTACCCAAGAATCAATATGAATACACAAGATCGAAGGGTTTAAATGAGTTGTTATGGGACTTAGGTAAGGTGGGATAAAAGGACACATTAGGCTATGAGAATCAAAACAATCATACAAACTCTTTACAAATGGAGCTCAATCCCAAAATAAATTACGTTGACTGTCTAACTTCATAAAATGTATCTAACGTAACGAATAAAGTAGCACAATTTTCTTCATCGTCATTCTCTCCATTTTTATTTTTTTTTTGGTTTTATGAGTTTTTCGTTTTTTTCTATTTTGCCTTTTTTCTGTTTTTTTTATTCGGTCTTTCTTCCTTTTTTTTAGAGTTTTTTTTTTCTTTGGAGAGAAGACAAGAACTAGTAGATGTTAGATAACTAGACCTCAAACAACCCGCAGTCAAGTCTAAGCACGTAAGCTCATCATCAATACAAAGAATTCATACAATTGCTTCAATTCAAGGTTCAAAAGAGGGTATCAACAAAAAGGATATCGTGGCTTGTAACGTGGCTAAATCCAAAGAAAAAGACTAAGGCTTAAACTTGGCTCACTAGGGGTCTATGCAAAGGGTAAGCTTCCAAGAAAAAGGCTAAAACAAATGGCTAATCCTAATAACCTTATTAAGATATCGTGCATCCAAATTCATCAAAGGAGTAAACAAAGATGTGCATACAAAAGCAAGTTCTGGAAAAACCAACAAGTCATGACACACACAATCAAGGAAATGGAACATGATATTCAATGTATGCTCATCGGCTCAAATCTCACAAAAAACAAGGTAAAATATGTGTCGAATCACATGCATTTGTCTGTCAATTAATCATCAAGAGTAATCAATCACCAAGTAGCATCAAGGACTCTAAAATCATTTTCGCATGCAAATAAACCAATTTTCACCGGATTTGCACCAAATGAATCGAGAAAAATCACGAGAGACATAATAAACAAGACTTAATACATAAGATGATAAATTATCTCGAAACACCATCTCAAAAATTATTGACGACCAAATATATAAATATAAGGATACGCAAACCAAATCATCGCAAAGGATACCCCACCCCACACTTAAAAATAGATATTGTCCTCAATGGTACCAACTCAATGCTCAAACAAAATATAGAAAATAAATGCACGAGAAGTAGAAAACTCCCCTGATTGCGTAGAGCATCCGGTTGCATATTCGAGCCAGTTGGCTTTGTATGTAGTCATGGAGAATTGGACTCCGATGAGTGAAGGTTTGAGCTCGTTTTCTTCATTATGCTTCGCTACTCTTAACGCAGCTCACTAAAAGTCATCATCCACCACATATTGAAGCATTATAGTATGAAATTACCCTCGACTGAATAGTATTCGAAGCAAATTCTAAGAAGGCCAGAAGAACTAGTTCCCCGGGTTCTCCTCACTACAGTTATATTCCGACCATAAATACTAACGATGGAAGACCGACTGGTTCACGTCGGCAAGCCAAAGCCTATGCACGACAAACGTAAAACTCGGAAAAAAACGTCTTAACGGCCGACCTCAGGGACACCATCAATACTAGAAATAATTGTCCCCATTACGTTTGTTGATACCCAATTTGGCTTCGATTAATTAAATAATAAAATACGTCCTGACAACCGAGGGGCCAAAAATATGTAATAAATAAATATTCAACCAAAAAGTTCTCGATGTCGATCAAATCAGAAGCCGCCTCAGATAGACGTCAATCGAAGCCGTCAGAAGTCATAAGCGGGCTCCACGATGATTATCTCATATTAAATAATGATGTACAATTTTTTATTTATTAATTCGCCCACTTGTAAAAAAAGGACTATATAAATACAAATGGATTTAGCAAAAAAGGGGATTCTATTCATTTTTTTTTCATGATACCCAACAACTCAAAAGAGAGGGGGTATATATATGTACAAATGAGGAGAGAGAAGGGGTGGTTGGATGAGACTCTCCCCATTTTTCACCTTTCCCATCAACTAAGAGAGAGAAAATCCTCTCAAAACAATATAGAGAAAAACACAATTATCTTCACATTTTTCTTCATTTTTCATACAAGAAAATAGATTACTTTTCAAGGGTTGATCGTCTGATTTCCGACATCAACAGTTTGGTGCTAGAAGGAGGGCTCCGTAATTTGTTCGGAGTCAATTTTCGCCCGAAAACGGCCACATTTTCACCGGAAAACATATTCTCCAAGTTTGTATTTCATCTCAATCTCCTCCACATTCGTTTCTCCGATTTTCTTATGATTTTCTTATAAATATATACCATTACACCGTATGAATGTGTTTTTCCTAAAAACTCTCACAAAAAATTACATCACCACAAACTTCACAGTCATTTTGTCTTTGGCCATGGATTTTCAGTGTATGGAGATAAAAAATTTCTTTTTTATAGTGGAAGATCTGAAGTTTTTTTCGATCCATTTGCTGCTGCTTCACGCAACTTTTCTTTTTTTTATCCTTTTCTTTTTTGGTTGAATAAAAATAAAGCCAAAGTCATAATTGCTGGGACAAGCCCACGTTAGTACACTGTTCCTAGTGTCTTATCGCATTACCCCATACATCATGTGAAAGATATATATATATATATAATAATAGTAAAAAAAAAAATAAAAAAAAAATAAAAAGAAGTCGGAATTCAGAAAGTGTCGACCAGCATGGCAAGCCATCAAGCCACGGAGCCGACCTTTCGTCATAGCCCGGATCCATCAGATCGCAGCTGCCGGACAGACCTCACCACCATGACTGGTCACCCATCGTCTTCAATCTCCGATCTCATCAGGGTCGATCTCGCTGTTGAAGGATAGACCTCACCGACCCAGACCTCAAGTCGTCGGACCGACCTCGCAACCGTTGACCCCAAGAGCCAACGTCGACCTCACAACCGTTGACCTAGCGAGCCGACGCCGACCTCAGCTCGGGGCTAATATTAAACCGTCGGGCCGACTTCGAAAAGCTCCACCTCGGAGACGACCTATCTACCGACGACCTTACCTTCAAGAAGCTTCACCTCCACTTAGTCGGGACGACCTCGCAGCCGTCGACCTCGCGGGCCGGACGCCGACCTCAGACTGGGGTCATCATCGAACCGTCGGGCCGACCCCGACCTCACGGCTGCCGGACCGATTTACACACACCCTCGCTGCCAGACTGATTCGCCCCAGCGAGATAACCTCACGCCGCGCCGGGCCGACGTATTCTTGCCAACGCCGGACTGACGATGCCCTCGCCTCGGCCGGATGATCTCACGCCTCAGGTGCCGACTTCACCCCGAAGTCAGGGCCGATCTCGCCGGGACCTGACCTAGCCGCTAACACTAATAACCACAGTTCCCAAAATCGCGAGCCCGGTTCGCCACCACCACCCTTGACCCGACCTAGCAGCCGCCGACATCACCGTCGCGGAGCTCCGCCTTCATGCCACATAACGGGTCAACAACCACAATCGCCGGCGGACTTCGACAATCGTCACCTCAATCCGAATCCACACCACAAATCCACAGCCCGGATCCGTCACTTAGAGCCGCAGCAGACCGCCTCCAAGCCGCGACCCAACATTACCGACACAACCTCACAATCGGCAGGTGCCGTCCTAAGATGGGACGCCGAGCTGCCACGCCGTCGACTCCACGGTCGCCGAACCATCGCCGCCGCCGGGAAGCGGTTTTCACCCTTAAACCCGGACGCCGAGCAGATCCGAACGTCAAGCCGCCAATGTCGCCCTCAAATCCAGATGCCGAACGAACTCTTGTAGATGGCGGAAGAAAGGGAATTGATATCGGTGCAGATAAGACGGATGGGTTATTCAACAGGGATATGAGATGCATATCTAATATCGGGCCCACACTTAAAACTAGCCCAAGGTAACTCCAATCCCTCAATCTTTTAATAAAAGTAATTATATACATATATGTATATCTATATAAATCAAAATACATAAACGTATCAGTATATTATTATATATACTATTAGTAATAAGTAATATATATACATATGTACTGCACATGTATATATGTACTGTATGTGCCCTATACACTTAATTAATTAGTAATAATTATTATAAGGTTTAATAATCATGTACATAAAATAAGTCACGCATATAAATGTGTGCATACAGATACATTGTGATATCATGAATTATATTCGTACATATAATAATTAACGCATAGATGCATATATATATATATATATATATATATATATATATATAATAATAAA